TTTTTCCAGCTTTTTTTTCTAAGACCTAAATCATTTTTTCTCTTGCTTATCGGCATTTTTAGAGACTGATGTAACAGTTTTTTTTGTTTGTTTTCAGAACGTGTACCAAATTGTCAAAAGTGTGGACAACATGGACGAAAATCACGTCTAAAAGGTCATAAACGTGTATGTCCGTATAAGGAATGCAGTTGTGCAAAGGTAATTTTTGTAGTAATTTTTGTTACAGTTTTAATAAGATTTTTTTTTGTTTTTTCTGTTGTTAATTCGTTGACTAATCAGATTTTTTTATTATTTTATTTTGCTTACTGCTTCAAACTAAATAAAAAACAGAATCATTTATGCCATTGTTTCTCCGTGCTTTTTCCTATCCTTTTCTGTCACAAAAAATTTCAAAAATTTTTTTTTAACATTAAAAGATTACTAGTTGTATAATTGTTTATAGTTGTTAGCTTAAGTTAAGATAGCAATAAGAATATTCTGAAAAAAAAAACAGCTTCGATTAAAACATTTATTTATTTGCTTCCTTACCTATTTTTTTCTTCCTGTTTTTTTTTTATTATAACATTAAAAGAAATGTATAATCTGAACAATATATCTTTACAAACAAATAAATTTTTGCAGTGTCAAGTGGTTAGTGAAAGACAAAAATTAATGGCTGATCAAATTAAAATACGACGTCGACAACGAAAAGATACGTTAATGAATTTTACACGAAAAAAGATAACTGATACATTGAATGCAGCTGCCGTTGTTGCTGCCACAAATCCGATGCCGTATTTAAGCAATTTTAATGCATTATTATGTAAGTGAACATCAAAAATTTTATGAATTAAAAAACAGTTTTTTTTTTAATTTAATAATGATAATAAATAATAATTAATGTTTTTTTTCTGTTTTTCTAAACTTTATAAACAACAAAGATAACAAAAATAATTGTTTAAGATAAACAATTGCAACAAAATTTACAACCACCAACAACTGGAATACTGCCCTGTTCATCGCCAACCGGTAGCAGTGCTGCAGATTCTTCAGCTTATTCACCAACAAATTCTGTACGCTATTTTACACCATCACCAACCGATGTTCAAAAAGTTGCAGTAAATAGTCATATTCAAACACCGATACCACAGTTACCGTTACTATTTTCTACACCATCTGTAACATTACCGTCATCATCAACCAATAACAATATTAGCAGTAACAGTAACAACAACAACAATACAACCAGCACTCATCATCATCCATCAGCGTTACTTGGAGCACCACAAATTGCTGTACCAATAGCAATTAATCCGTTGTTAGCCGGTTGTTCAACGTCAACAACCCTGTTAACAGATACATTTAGCAAAGCTAACAACAGCAATATTACTGTTGAGAAACAGTCACAACAACAACAACATCACCACCATCATCATCATCAACATCATCAACAACAACAACAACAACAACCGACTAGTTTCAGTCTAGGATTACAGGCAACACTTAATAATAAGACTATTGTTGAATCATTCTTAGCAAATATGCGTCTTTTGGAGCAAAAAATTTATGCTGGTATAACAACGCATGATGATCCATCAAATACAGTTGTTGATGTTTGTACTGTTTAAGAATGAAATAGAAACAAAAAAGGAGAAGAAATATTTTTTTCTTCTTTTTTTTTGTTTTTATTTATCATTCTGTTTTATACAGATGAATTATTAGGGCCTTTGATTCATTTGTCAACGAAAATTGTTAAAACTAAGTTTTTTTTTTTTCTTTTGTTTATAATCTTTCAGTTGCTAAGTGATAAATTATTTTTGCAGACATAAACATTCGAGTGATTATTATCTCTTGCTTTTTTTCTACTATTCTTGGATTTTTTTTTTTTGATAAAAAAAGATTCTATTTTTTTTTGCTTACTTTTATAATCAGTTTTGTTATGCTTTTTTTTTCTATATAACAAAGATTAGTATATTTTTTTTTTGTTTAAGTAGAATTAAAATTTTTTTTTTTGGAAAAAAATAAGAAGGAAAAAAGTTAACAGAGAGAAAAAAAAACGGAACATAAGGGGGTATTAATATAGGGGGAGGAAAAAAAGTGGAGGAATGGTGGATGTTGAAAGAGTGTTATGTTGGTTGAATTTTTCATCTACCGTTTAATGATCCTATTGTTATTTGTTGTATATAACGGTAATCTGAAGATGGTGATAATATTTCATAATATCTGAGCCTTTGTGTATCGTTCTCATCATCCACCAGTGCTCTTTGGTCTGCTGTTGTCTTGACCAAAATGATCTTTGATCATTTTGCTGTTCAGTTGAAGGATTACAGATACAAATGTAATTAATGGTGATCTTTGATCATTTTTGCTGTTCAGTTTAAGGATTACAGATACAAATGTAATTAATGGTTTCTTTTTTTTTTTTTCATGTATTTTTTCTCATGTTTTTTTTTTCTTTGCTTTTCTGTTTAATTGCTATTTCTGTTGTTAATACATTAATATGAAAAAGTTAATTTTTGTTTTTTTTTTTTGAAGTTTTTTTTTTTCCTTCACTAACATTGGATTTATTACCAGTTTTGTGTTTTTTGTTTAGTTTTTTTTTTCACTTTTATTAATGATTTTTTATTTTTCTTGTTTTGCTTTACCTTCTTCTTGCTCTGTGTGAATATTCCGGTTCAACGAAAACAAAACAAAGAAAAAACAACTGTATACCTCAACTGTTCGACAAGTTCGATACCTCGTGGTAAATTTTTTCTTGTTGTTGTTTTTTTTTTTGACACTTTTTTCTTCGTAATTTTTTACAGTAGTTTTGACTTTTGTTTTTTTGACAAATATTTCTGCACCTCCACTAATGAATTATCATTTTGTTGTTGTTATTTGTCGCTCAATCAATTCTTTACTTTCTAGATCAGGTCTGTTTTTTTTCTTCACAATTACTGTTTATTGTTGATTGCAACTTAAAACAAAAATTTTTTTTTTCTAAACGAAAAGTTTTTTTGACATTTCTGAAGAGAGAAGGAAGTAGAGGAGATAAGTTTTTTTGACACTTCTGAAGAGAGAAGGAAGTAGAGGAAGTATTTGATGATAATTGAGTGTTTATAAAAAAAAAAGAGAAAGTTTTTTGCTAAGATTAGTTGAATTATTAAATAAAAGTAGGTAAATAAGTTACAAAAACAGTTGTTGAGTTCTCCTTTTTCCACTTTTTTTTTTGTACTGACTTTATACTTGGCCTTATACACTTTTTTTCCTGTCTATTTGTTCGCTTCGTTTTTTTGATTTCAATCACTGTTGCATTTTTCTTCGTTCTCTTTTTACTTTTAAGAAGTCCAAATAGTGTTTGAAGAGAGAGAATGATACAAATATGCGGTTTATACAGTAGAAAAAGTTTTTTCTGATTAAAATTTAAAACACAAGCAAATTTTTTTTGCTACAAATTTAATAATATACTCAGTTTTTTTGCGTACACAACAAATACGGTCAATGGAACTCTGATAGATGTGTAATACACGCTAACTATCTATCTAGTGGCTTTTTTTTTAGTTGCTTGATAATTAGATATTACTGAATAAAATAATATGGTGAAAAAACGAGCAAATAAATAAATAAGGGGAAACAAAGTGCTAAAAATTAATAACCTACTAAAAAGTTAGTTTTTCTTTAACTATGTTTTTTATTCTTTTTCTATTTTGTTTTTTGACTTGTATATTTACTGCTTTTACCTGCTAAATAGTTATTGCCTTTATACCTCAGCAAAAAATAAATAAGGAAAGAAAAAAACTGAAAAGATATAGTAGAAAAAAAAATTTTTTTTCTTATTTGCTGCTAAATTTTGATTCTGCCTTAAAATTGTCTTAAGTATTTAATGGGAAAAAAAAAAAAAGCAAATTAAAACAAAAAATGAGTAAATGGAACTCAGTTGTTGTTTTCTGCTCTTTAACTTTTTTTTGTTTTTTGTCGCCACCGTATTGCCGCGCGACGCGTCAGTTATAAGCGATTAACAGCGCGTCTAAAAATGGTGTGTCATAAAAAAAAAAACAACTTCTAAAATCATATTGTCTCTGTCTTCCTCTCCCTCC